TGTTCCAGTGACTATTTCATTGGGTCAAACGCTGCAGTCTTCACCTATCAAAAGTTTCTCTTCCAGGCCTTTAGGTTTTTTGCCCAAGGTATTTACTGTGTAAGTGCTTAGGCACTTAAATCAATGTTATTTTACAATTCCCTGAAATGAAGTTAATGGTTTGAGTGTTTGGTTTTTTTTTTTTTTCAATGTCTGAAACTTGTATTTGTGCATTGGCACCTAAATCCTTAGCAAAAAGTTTTTTTTCTAAAGTGCTGTTGTCCTATGTAGAAACTACATCTCCAAGTGAAATTACCAATTGCCGTAGGCTAAATCCTGAGCTACTCTACATCCTATACAGCTGTAGTGAAGTTAGCAGTTTTGGGGAGGATGTAGATTGTTAATGCTGTGGGGCTGGGGAAGGAGGAACACGTTGGCTCACGCAGCAGATCTTCAGTTAGCAGGACGTGGAGTTCAACTGAATAATAGCAATGCAGCAGCATGTTGCTTTTTTTTGCCTAAAATGGAGTCATACATCTTTATCTTTGAATTGTAACTTCCCTGTCCAGTTTGCGTATTTGTATGCCTTTAGGGACAACGTGACTGAATAGCACGGGGTGAAAAAATACTATCCCTGTTCCAGTAAGTTTTACAGGATCTGTTTCTGCTTGTTGATCTCTTTCTTGGACCGATCATGCTGAGATTAGAAAGTCTGTTTAGTTTTTTGTTTCAGCAACAGTTTTGGCAGTCAAAAATCTTTCTGATCTCTTCAGAATAGCTGAATACACTCTCAGTTAAGCCGCAGTAAGTCAACTTTTCAGTGTTTCCCTGAGCAGGTGAGCTAAGAGGGAAAGGAAGGCCTTTCCCAACAGGATGGGCCCGGTTGCAGATCTGCAGTTGAGGACCAAAATAACTGGTCCTGTAGAACATCTGCGGCCCCTTCTCATACCATGTTCGATTCCCGGAGGGCTTGTACTGGCTGAAAACGTGATGCTTCTGGCCTTCCTCTTGGAAGGTGTCTGTTAATCGCTCCCATGTGCAAAACTGTGCTTCAAAGGACTGAGGAACCTCCTATGATTCTTAGCAAAGAATGGATAGGATTTGATAGGATTTTCTAGGAGTGCTTAAAGTGTGAAATTTCCTAGTACAGCAGCCAAATGTTATCTGTGTTTTATTAAATTATTTGCAAAAAAAAAAGTGTATTTTAGCAGCTAAACGAAGTAATGAAGAAATATCTTCCAGTTGTACAAAGCCCCTTCTATGCTTTCCTGCAATAAAATTGGAAAACTTCTAACCTCTTTCTCGTTACTGTAAGGGTGAACACGTGCTAATAAGACTTTTTTTATTGTTTCTTATGTAACGCTGACATGTTGTGGTCCAAAGGCTGACTCTTAACTCATGGATACCTAAAGCAACTGAATGGTTACAATGTCCCTTCTTAGTGTTACTACTTTTACAAACCGTATTTTGTATTTCAGCTTTAGGGCGTTGGTTTGAAAACCTCCCGCACAGCTGAGCTGTTACCATCTGACTTCTTTGGCATGCTCAGTTGAGTTCCCAGGGGACACGGGTGGATGTACATCTCTGATTAGGAGGCTGTGTCCTGGACAGATACTTGATGAGTTGATCTGTCTGGTTACAGGTGTCTTCCCTCCCCCCCCCCCAAGTTTTACACTTTATCGATGTGTTACACTTAATCGATTTATTATTTGTGCAGTTTGTCAACCCGATAAAGACTCCTAATTAAAATTGTGTCCATACGCTCAAAGCCCCAACTGATGCTGTGGTGGGCAGAGCAGAGACTAGGGGCTGAGCCTGATCCATGGAGAGGGGCCTGCCTGTTCAGTGCTGAATGTGGCCCTCCTGTGTCAGCGCAGAGCCATATTGATGGGCAGCGCAATGAAACTTTCATGCTGCTCCCTCTCCTGCAGATAAACACTCCACATCCCGGCATTAACCAGCTGGCTGGCGTAAGCTCTGCCTTTCTTCAAGGTAGTTGGGCTGTCCTGTGGTTATCGGTTTTGGAGTTATGAATTATTACTCGGTTCAAGGCCACAGATGACCAATCTGCTCCTCCATTCTGGGCCTTTTTTCATTTACGATATCAAAACCTTGGCCTCTTTTCTTTTTCTTTTTTCTTTTTTTTTTTTTCCTCCTGAGCACTGAGACAAGTTTTGACCATTTTGCTCACTTATCCTGTTTGAACTCCTTTCATACAAGGCGAAGATCACTTTCCTGTACTGTTGCCAACTGAGAATCAAATCCTGAAGAGATACAGAAAAGTTATTAATCTGTAATTTCAGGTGCCTAAAGTCCCTTGAAAGTTTAAAGCCACTTAGAATGTTTTCAGTCTTGTAATAGGAGTACTTGATAGTTGGCTTCTCTTAATTTTACCCTGATCTTCCCCCACCACCACCACCCCTCTGATTCCTGGTTTGACTCAGAAAAAGTCATGTTTTCCTTTTTTCCATAGGTATTGCCTTTTCAAGCAGGTGACTAATTCATTGTCATTTTGGCCAAACTGAAAAAAAGTACGCTCTAACACTTTATGAAGATTTTAAAATTCAGTGCTGGATGCTGGTTTTTTTTTTTTCTGTTGTACTCCTTCCAAGATTCAAATTTGCTCGTGTTTTTTCTGTTATGTAGATAAGCAGACTTGTAAACATCCCTTATGTGTGATGTTGCAGCAACTCTTTCTACCTTGTTCTTCCTACTTCAGCTAACCTTTTAGTTTCCTATTACGTTCTTGCTGTTTTCGGCCGTGTCCCTTTTTATTGAAGATGTGCATGTATGCTTCTGAGGTGTGTGTTTTTGTTTTTTTTTTTAAATTAACTCCTTACCTTGATCTATGATTTCTTTTCACATCACATTTTAACATACAGGAAATCCAGAAAGGCAATTTGTAAAAAGGTAATATGAGACCCTATCTTAAAGTCTGTATGTTGATTTTTTCCCCCCTGTCCAGATTTGAGACGTTTAGGTTTTCTGCTCTCAAATTCTGGAATTTATACAAGGATGTAATCCAGAATTTTTCATCTCTATTGAAGGAGGAACATAGGACTTCAGCTCACAGTCCTCCAAAGGCTGGGAGATTTGGTTCTGCCGTATGTTTTCTCAGGAGTGGGAATGTAGCGCCATCATGCAGCATGAGGCTCGCTACAATGATGCTGAGCAATCTAGAAGCAAGGGCAGATAATTTGCTGAACACTGTAATGATGTTCAGTCCCCAACTGTTGTGCATTTTACCTCCCTGTTAGCTAGAGCGGCAAGAGTCTGGCAAGGGGTGGGGGGGAACTGAACCGTTAGGAAAGTTCACAGGGATGTAGCTTAATGATCTGTAAAGTTAAACAAGACAACACACTTTCAAATGCCATGTGTAAGTAAATCTGGAAGGGGGTGGGGGGAAAAGCCTATTCCTGTATAGTTTTAATTTCAAACTCGTGATCATACTGCTTCACATTAAACAGGCCCGTTTTTAGAACTTTGAAACTAAATAATACAACTAACAAGAACAGTTAAACAGTGAATTAATTTATTTGGAACAAACGTGAAGACTATGAGCCATTAATTAGAATGTGGCATTGCTTCAAATATTTTATTTTAAAAGGTATAGAAAAATTAATTGGGCGGTTACATTCACTGCAAGAGATACAAACAAAATCATTCTTTGGAAGAAAAAAAATGACCATCATGTGTACTTCAATGAGGACCATATGCCATCAGCTTGAGCTCCATCTTGCACATGTGGGTTTCCTTTGGGTCTTGTCTTATGTTTGTCCACGTTCTCCAATTGCTTGCTACAGCCAGAGATAGAATCAATGTTTTCATCTTAATACAAAAAACAGACTGGAACACGAGTGAAATGTGCACTAAGAATTGTGGACTGGGCTGTCTGCAGTTTACAGTTTGAGTCTGCAATATTGATGAGACTTTAAAGTTGGAAGGCATAGTTATGCTAGACTTTCCATCGATGCAGTCTAACGTCTCTTAAAAATGCTGGTCGTGTTGCATTCAGTTGAGACGTTTACGGCTTGCCTCTCCTTGCTGCCAGATCGCGCATGCTGCTTCACAATGATAAGCGCTGGGGACTGAACTGCTCAGCGGCAGGAACAGCTGGGCTGGAATCTTCTTGGCACTGAGCCCAGAAGTGGCTTTATTTTAATGAGTTTGTCAGGGTGGGAGTTCATGGCCTACTGGGAGATGATGGTTTTCATGGTGGGAGGCAGAGAAGTGCATGCGAAAAGGCCTGCCCTGTAAAGTGCGTTCCCATGATTCGGGCTAGGAGATCTTAATTTTAAAAAATCATTTATGGCTTGAGCTGAAAAGAGTCATTTAATAAAGATACCAGTTTTGATGAATGTGTCTGAGCTGTTTTAACCACGTAGCAAGATAGATAGCTTCACACACTGAGAAGAAAATTTGGCTTTCAATGACTGAAGCAGGCTCTTTTGTGGGAATTGACAAAGCTGACTCAGGAAACTGTGATAAGGATGATAATATAAGGTGTGGATGGAAAAGACTTACAGCACGTTATCTCCTTGTTGACACTGAACTTTCATACTGATGATAGCAGGATACAGTTTACCTTTTAAAAAGAAAAAATCCACTTCTTTCTTTCTTTGCACTCTGCACCTCCCCATAGAAATGGGGTCTTCCTCTTCCATATCCTACTACTGGCTAAATAAAAGGAACAATTAAAAGTCTGCAGCATAAAACAGCGTAAGGCACACCTCTAAAAGTTACCTAGCAGAGTTAAGAAGGCTTAGCTCCTTTCATGCTTTTTAGCACTACACAGTATTTCTCTCAAATACAAATAAAGCCCACGATATTTTTCTCAACTATAAGACACACGCCTATCAGGTTTGTTGAACGTGGCTTCCCCCAGAAGGTGATTTCAGTACCACATTAATATGGCAAGGGGAAAAAAAAAAAGTGGAGGTGACAGATAAGGTGTTTGTTTAACTTCTCATAGCAGCGTAATGTGCATGATGTGGTACTTACTTATGCAGCTGGAATTGTTCTCTTAACAGAAGCCTTACCAAGCATCTTCCTACTTAAGGCTTCCTTAAGCGCCAAAAGTTCAAGAAACAATGCAACTATGTGACAGTGACTGAGAGTCAAACCCCACTCCACTGTAAGATAAATAAAACTTTAATGCAAAATAAAGTCTTCAGTCGCTGTGCAGATCGGTAAGTACTTGCTCTACTGGCATTCTCTTGAAAAAACTATGGTCTTTGGGGTCAGCGGTTCACCTTCTACTTCATGCAATGCAAACTATTCAGAAAAATGTCATAGCTTTTACAGCTGTGTCAGTGAATACAAACGCAGTTGAAGAAGCAGTTCTTGCTGTTTTATATAAAATTTTGCCTTAAATGTAGCCATATTATTACAAAAGTTACTGTAATTAAGGATCATAAGATTAAAAACTCCATATTCCTTAGTACTCGCTTTCCCTTTGCTTTTACGCCACATCATTGTATTTTATGAAATAAAAGGTTTTAAAGCATAATACAGCAAACAAACAGAAAACATTTCATTTTGTAAAAGGTTATTCTTGGTTCTTGGGAAAGTCATTCAGTTCTCATACTAATGCAAGAGCTATCCAAAGTAGGAGTGGAGAGGCTAAGTGCCTCAGGGCTTTCAGTAATGTTATGTCTGCACTTTTGCTAATTTGTACAGACTTGATCGAACACTAGTGAGCCTAGTGGAAAGAAATCTACGGTAAGTAACTTGTAACTGGTCATATTAAAAGAAACGCACCAAGCAGGAGAAATAATGAGAACAGCAACCATGAGGAGCTACTAAAATCCTCAGTGCAATAATATACTTGCTGGCACAATGTTTAACTGATCATCATGACCTGATGATTAAGTATTCCATCTGCCATTTGCCAGCTTGCGAGCAGCATCGTGATAGCAGCAATTTAATTCAGACTAATTTCCTGAAGGCTGACATTTTATATTGCAAATAAATAGATCAGTCTGTTGATTTAAAAAAGCTATAGACTTTTGAATCAAAATGCATTGTAAACTTATATATTCACAATTAATGATTAATGAGAAAATTCCGTACAGCCCAAATTTTATGTTTCTCCCCTGTAAACTTTTTTTTGGGTTCAGTGTAAAATTTGGAAGGGCCAAGTTATGTGATGTTCTCGATTCATCATAAAGACACAGATCGGCATAGTTAATATCCTGAATGAAATCACCCATAGGAGGCACAGTTGGAGCTTTTCAAAGCTTATTTATATGGTGGCTAAGGACAGAATAATGCTTCATTATCACTTCATATGTACCATTTCATTGTACTCACCAAATATCTAACAGCTATATTCCAGTACATAACAATGTAGTTGTCTATTTCCTGATAGAAATATTCACAACCTAAACTTAATTTTTCCACCTATTTGCTAAATTAAAGTAATCAGAATATGAACAATCTTCAGAGGATGATTAGGTCAAATTCAAGAGTAAATGGAAATATTCGGTAACTAAGTGATTTTCTGTCATTAATAACCTCTGATGGTGAGCACTCAATTTGTTTAAATCTTGAATTGCAAAATTATCTTTGCATTTTAGATTTTCAGCCTACATAAGTGCTTGGCACTTTGCAGGCAAGTCCGCTCCGTTGCCTGTAATTTGACTCAGTCAGAAGGTATATCCATGTTTTGGCTGAGGTCAGGGAAGGCTGTCTTAACTAATGTTTCAACATGTTGAATGGAAGACTCCTCCCACTTTGACACCTCGAGCAGCCAGTGCATTGTACTCTTCCACAGCCTTCTCTGTTTGTAAGACCAACACATCAATCCCATGTTTCTTAAGATAGTCCACGGTAGATGGTGGTACCTGAGAAGAGGAAAGGAAAAGAGAACAACAAGTATTAGATTATTTTCCCTTTATGCCATAAAGCTTGAAGAAAAATATGTATTGAAAACAATCCTTAGCAGATGCACTAAAGGTGTCGACAGTAACCAAACTGGTAATACGCTAAGAAATTTTTAAGATTGATACCAATTTTTCTGTTCAATAAATCAACTTGTATATTTACACCTCCCATTTCTCCTTAAGAGTTTTACATATGGCCCTGTCTTACAACAAGAAATAGAATTTGACCAACAAATCAAAGTCAAAGAATTTGACCAACATGGAATACAAATAAAGTGTTAATTCAGATCCCCAAAAAGCTACAAAATTGTTTCTTATGAAGTGAAGAGCAGCACTTCTGAGCTTTCTGCAGGTAGTTTATCTGCTGAAATGACACTGCCAACATCACTGATGCTAACCCACAAGGAGCTCAGATGATGTTACTTTCAGGAAGACAGTCACTACTGGCAAGAGCTCAGATCTGCTGATTCAGCATTCTGATTTTTTTCCGTCTTAGAAGAGCATCCTGGATGATCTTCCCCCCAGCCCGTATACACAGACGAAGGAAAAACAAACAGTTCCAGTTCATGTTTATCAGAGAACAAAAACCTACTTGCAAAGCCTCACTCATGCCACGACCAATCACTACAGTTTTAACACCCTTCTTGACAACTTCTTCGAGGTCAGCTGGTTGCACTCCTGGAGAATGCTAAGTGTCAGGAGGAGAAGATTTTAGTGTTTATACTGAAAGCATAAACCAGGAAAGATTCAGCTATATGTTTTGAAAAAGTACATAGCTTAACAGGATAAATTAGCTAAACCAAAATGTAAAACAACCCTCTTTTCTGCATGCGTGCACAGACATGCACATGATATTGGTAATCTCAAAAGGTATTTTATACACAGATGAAGAATGGTAGTAATCAATTGATGGCAATATTATCATTGTTTATAAAACAGAAATTAAAACATGCATTACACATTTCTAAAACATTTATGTCTGACAGCTAGCATTTTATAAATATTAAAAGTTAAAGTGAAATTAATAAAACTGCAACATTTTGCTTTTTTTTTTTAAATGAACAAAATGTTTTTGTAATAAGGGTTATGGCAGGCTAAAGTTTACTCACTTTAATTATAAAAAGCTCCTCAAATAATTAAAATGTTTTAATTTTTTTTATGTTGACTTTGTAAATCTCATTTACCCAAGAGGACTTAAACATATTGTTTCGCTTCATTTCAGTTAATAGTTTCAATTTCTGCACTATTCCCAGGAAAGGCATATTTAAAACCAAACTCTTTTTAGAAAAAGAAAGAGAAAAGAGCTATAAATTGGGTTTTTAAAAGTATAGTCATTACCCTTTAAACAAGCAAATCCATAAGCACCTCTAATGTTTAAATAAAACATTACTATGTTACCTTAACTGTATCCCTCCCAAATATTCACTGTCTGTGTATCTCTGTAGGCTAGAAGTAAGATACTGTACAACTTTTGGCTACAGTTTGGCCTCTCTTCAGTGTGCAATTTTTTTGTTGTTGTTTAAAACCATATAAACTATTCCCCCTGCCATCTTTCTTACAGGATTTGTATGTTTTTAAGTGGATTGAGACCAGCTTTTCACTTTACGTGGGTAATTGTGGACTTCTAAATAAAGTTATTTTTAATGGAGAAGCTCGTAAATCTGGATTCCCTGTCCTTCTTGCTCTTCCAGAAAATACTACATTCCTTGGATTAATTAAGGTCAAAGCATCAGCTTGGCAATTGGCTGTAAGAGGAATAAAACTGACCTAAAGCAGGAACTTTAAAAGTGGCCTATATAATGGAAAACCTAAATAGATGGCGTTTGCTTCTTGATGATGTAAAAAGGATGCCAGAAAACCTGCCTCTCTAAATGACCTGTTTTTTTTTCCCCTCTAGTTTTCATTTAACATAGACTCATCTCTCTTGCTTTAGCTGGAGGAATCCTTTAAGGACTTCTGTGGACTTACAGTTTTCAAATGATCAGACTGACTATCAAAATGTGATTGAGCTGGGAACTATTTGGGAACTTCTCAGCTATTATGTGTGTTCTGCTTCTCCAGTCACGTGGGTATATAAACTCAGAGAACAGTATTGTTAAAATTTAATTTCTCTTATCGAACAAACAAAAAAAGTACCCCCCCTTCAAACTGCCCCAAGGGATGAAAATTCCACTTTTTATAATCAAGCCATTCTTACACATAATAAGACCTTGTTAAAAAGGTTACATACATACACAACTGTCTTTCTCTTTGCAACGTATAGATGTCTTTGCACAAAAGCACATCTTTCTCTTTGCACTATATACTCATTATAAATTGAATCCTGACAACTTAAAATTTGCACCAGAAAATTATATACGAAGATCTAAAACCCAAGGTTCTGCCCTTCAGTTCTGTCAAAATGAATTCAACATAGCTCTGGAAGGGCCTGTGTGACTACAGCTGGAGATTCTAAGACCTGATGAGTATGTAGGCCTTTTTCATTTTAACCTTTGCTTATAAACGGTGGATTTTTTTTTCCTTCAAACCAATACAGCTATCCAAGTGCAAGCTCTATTATGGGAAGAACTATCAACACAAATTCTCTAATACCAATAGAGACGCTTCTAAATCTGGAATATCAATATGTAGTTTTACACAGTTATAATAACATGTACCAATAAAGTTTACAGAATACAAAAACTGTAAGGACAGGCACTTAAGAGTACGGCTATAGAGACAAGACACTGTGTGCTTAGCCAGACTGTGAGCTTTCCACGAAGAAACGTGTGCATGTGACACTGTCTCCATGCTCTTCCTCTGTAATAAGCATGAGGGACTTCACTCCTCAAGGAAAGTGACAAACTAACCCATATGCATGCTCAGTTACTGTGGAATTCTTCCGACTTCCCATCAATTCATTCCCAACCCACTCAGGACAACTTTCATTCCTGTAGGCATATCTTCAGCTTGAAAAAGGTTGCTACTAGCATCTTATTACAATTGCATTCTTAATCAAACATGGAATGCTGTTTGTGGGCTCTAAGGTATATACGCTAGTGGTCCAATGTGTGCAGCTGTCTGTGAGGACCGGTGGCTATAGCTGCTACTCTCTGTCACTCATATAAAGTAGTGTGTCTGCAGCCCTCTGACCTCTTTGCACGTTTACTTCTCAGACAGACATTCTCCATTTTCTCCCAGGAAAAGTCTAACGGTTGGAAAGAAGCAACGGGCAGCCTGTTGAACATCTGGTTGGAACTGTAATAACTCTTCCATGGACCCTTCTCACAGTCCCATTTAAAATCGAAGGCGGAAAGTAAACAATAAACTTACATTAGTCCCAGTTTCTCGCCAGTCCCAGGTTCGGCTTCCTCCTGGCCATACTTTGCAGTCCTTATATGTTGTAGAACAGCCTTTTACCTTCATCTGACCCCATGAAAGGGAAGCAATTTCAGGGGAAGACATCACAAAGTTGAATCAAAGTCTGGAAAAAGGATATTTAATACATAACTCCAGACTAACACATATAGCACACACACACAAAAAAAAAAAGTTCTTGTCCCAAGGCACTTGGAAGGAAAAGCTATTACAGATATTATCTATGATAATTATAGTGATTTTGTGACAACAGAATTGAACTGAGGATTGGCAGATTTGTTTAATTAACAGTTCTCCTCACGATTTTGTGTAGGATCTTGGACTAATCAATTTGTCATATCTGTAGAAGTTTCAGGTGCCTAATTTTTAAAGTAGTCAGCAGAAATCAGGTCGCAAAATATCCTTCCATATCTGGCTTTTAATCTTTTCTGTAAATGCACAATGGTGAGAACATATTCCTAAAATACCCGAGAGATACACTGGTTATATGGCCATCTAAACCATTTCAGTATGTAGACAGAGGTTTATTAACTTGGGATGGTGAATGAGGTTAAAAAAATCCCATACAAATATATTATTGCTTTACTGGCTTTAATTCAAAGCTCAAGAAAGACTAAGGCAAAAACAAGAAGATAGCTACATGCTGAATAAGGACTCTAATGGATATTTCATTTGCACACTTTTCTCAGTAAAGGCAACATTGAACAGAAAAGACATCACCAAAACAATGGCAATCCCATACTGCCGTAGCAGACAAGACTTCAGAAACCTAAAGAGGTCAGGCTTTCTTTCCCAAAGCAGAATCAACTATATTCCCTATAGACAGCAAGTCTCCCCAGGACAGTTAAGCACCCAAATGTCTTCTTTAAAGTCTATGCTAAATCTTCATTGTTTCACTTTAAAACCACTATTTTTACTCCTTTCTACTGTGGACAACAATAATAGCTTAATCTTCGACTTTTCTGCCGTCTTTCTTTTACCTGAACACTTATCATATCAATCCTTAGTTTTTTTCCCTTTCTTTTAAATTAAATAAACTTCAGTTCTCTTCAGCCTTTCTATTAATCATGTTTTCTGAATCTCTGCTTATTTCCTGGTTTTCCCTGGAAGCCAACAATTGGCTGCATCTTTCTTCGATGTCTTTTGCCTGAAACTAGACAAATTGCTCCAGCTGAGGCCTGTTTTTTTTGATAAAAGCAGTGTTAGTCTATATGCAGCATTGATATTAGGCACAGTGATTTTTAGATCTGCTATCACAATCTTAGCTGGCATCAGCAGAAAAAGACAATGCCCTAGAAAGTACTACTTGACAGTACCATGAAAATACCTGTGCTCTTTACAGTACTTCAAGTCCCTGCAATCTGATCTCTGCTATGATTCTGACACTAGATTGCAACATATTAGTCACACAGTGATACTTTAGAAATGGTTTAGACTAGCATGACAGTAAATTGACAGTTCTCCAGAGTAATGACCTCTTTCTTGCCCTTCCAGTTCAGAGGAAGGGCAGAGGAGAAAGAGGATGGTCTGAAAACAACATCAGGAAAAAAAAAATATGCCATTAAAAGAACTCTGCTCATTGCTATTCCAAAAAACGTTAGTGGTAGACCCTTCCACATATCCAGATTCTCTTTTTGTTGGTTTTTTTTTTTTGGTAGTTGTTCAAATTCACCAGGAAAATCAACGTTAGGAACCCTGATGTTACTGATTAAAGAAAGAGCCCTCTTGAAAGAGCAATATTTGGATAAACAGGCTTCCATCTGCAATGCTTCCAGAAGCATTGCAACCTCCCTTCCCGCCTTACAGCAAACTACAGTATGGCCAGACAGGATATGTTCTTCTCTGATTGCCAGGAATGAAGGTCAGTATCCTGCTTCAAACTTTGCATGAGGTAAAAACAGAATTACTTTGGGTACAGCAAAGGAATGAGGTTCCTTTATGCCAGAGAATAAAGGAGTAACTTTCTTGCTTGCTCCTTTCTGAAGTCCATGATACGCACGCTCTGCCCAAGCAGCTGAGAGAGTGCAATTTGTCTAGTTTCATATATTCTAGATTCCCTCATTACACATCCACAATGCAACGGGTTCGTATGAAGGTGCCTAAGTCCTTTTTCCCCTCAAGAGGTCTACTGAAGTGAGATTATAGTAGAAGAACTAACACTCATCCAAACAGAATGGAGATTACCTGTCGACCAAAGAGCAAAGGCAGAACCAACTACCCAGAAGTTGGCTCTGAAGAAAGAAAATTAATTTTTGCCTGCTTTAATCTTGAGAGAAGACAGCAGAATTATGGAGTTAGAAGACCTGGAATTTAGACAGAAAGGAATGAACACTAAAATAATTAGGAATTATTATTATTATGAGTTATTATTATTATTAGGATTTCCCAGTCAAAATAGTACTAAAAGATTAGGACTATGCAATCAAAAGAGAAGAATAAACTGCAAAAAAGATAGCAAATACAAGCTAGGGACACCATAATATCTTTTTGCAAACGCATAAAAATAAGGAATTAGCTGAAACGGAGAGAGAAAATTCAAAACCAATAAATACTTGTTTGTAATCTAAAAAGATTTTCTATACTACTGCCAGAGAATATCAGTATGGTGAACTGGTTATTTGAATTAATGAGGATATCGTAGATGGAAGAGAGTAAGAATTAACTTTATAAAGAGGACTTTGGACATTCTTGATGGAGACCATGGTCCTATCACTAACCAGCAAGAATTAGAAAAATATTTCCCCAACAAACAAGTTATTCTTTAATTCTTCACTATGACATTTGCTGAAAAGTATAGTACCAGTCGAGATCAAAAGACAGTGAACTATGAAACTCAAACATGATCTAAAATAGCAATTTCTGTGAACTGCAGTAGTTCAAACATGAAGTTATGATGAACACAAAAGCCTGAGGAATCCATAAGCAAAACTGTGATAATTTAAAAACACTGGAAATACAGGAAGCTAGAGAGCCTACAAGGAAGCAACATACAAGTTCATAGGACACCATACTGAAAGAAAGAAATGAAGTAATGGCCTCTTGATGGCAGAACGAAAAATAGCAGAAGGCTAAGAATTAAGCTAATGAAACTCGACATTTAAGCACAGGTAGGCAACAGCGTGGATCTTAAAGTTTCCAGCGTGCCTAACTTCCATGAAGTTAAATCTCGCTTCAGACAGTGTCCGTCAGCAGCAACTTGGATTAGGAAAATAAAAAAAAAAGGAATAGGAATAATGCATCACAGAAAACTGTATTAAGATAGCATAGAAAGAAAGAAGAAAGAATGGTTCATAAAATCAAAGCTATCATGAGATCAGAGAGGATAAATGCAAGAGTAAATCGGCAGACAAAGTTCTGGGCAGAGCAATTCCTATAACATACCAAAAGAACGTCATTCTCCAGAATTAGCTGTGAGCAAGGTGAATAAGTGACAGCGTGCAACTTCCCTGTCTCCAATGTAATTTTAGAAACGATACGTAAGTTAGAAAAATAAACTCAAGTGATTTTAAAACTGACTGGCAGTGAAAACAACGAGGACAGTCTAGGTTCAAATGAATGCCGTAGGAAGGGGACAGATCTCAATTTAAAAAAAAAAATAGAAGGATATTTTTCAGAAACTCGGCAACGCAATTTTGCTGCGTAGCCCAGGGAAGGCGACGGAGGGTACTGCGCTCCTAAGAGGAGGAGGTGGAGAAAAGCAGTCTGAAGCGAGACGGAGGGAAGGAGGACGGGGGCAAAAGACAAAGATCCGAGCGTAGCGTTAGCAGGGCGGGGAGAGCGGGGGAACAGCAGCGAACACGGAGGAGCAAGGCTGGGGCAAAAAGTAGGCAAGAGCTTGACTTTACGAGGAGGACGCGGCACAGGCGAGTTCTTGAAATCCCACCGAAATAAAGGGCCGAGGCAGGCAGCGCAGCGGCAGCACGGCGCCTCCGGCAGCGCCCGAGGCGGCAGCGCTGCG